AGGACATCAAAAGCATACGCACACACACATGCACTCACATACACACAAACACCAAGTTTAAAAGTGATAGTTATTGTTCTGTCAACAGGTACCTCTTCTTCTTACCAGATTGCCAGAAATGTTGGATAAAATAAAAATACACATATATTTGATGTCTGCTTTTCATTCACCTCAGATGAAACCACCAGACCAACCCGGACAAAGAAACTCCAGAAGGTATGAATGGCTCATTTATGTCTAAAGAAGAATGTTATGAGGAGAGGGGCCCCAAAGAGATTTGTTAACCCTTTTTAGTGCTTTCTGCAAAGAGTATGTCTAGCCTAATTGTAAAACTCCGTATTAGCCTGGTGTAATATACATAAATGTTTAAATACTTAAATACATAAAACAAAATTTCAGAAGAAAAAAAAGGAAAAGAAAAACATACAAAAGAAAAAGACAATAAAGATAATAAGTGACAGATACTTTATTTCAGTCATTGTCCAATAAAGATACATTCAATAAAGCAAACAAAACAAAGTTAATCCCTAACTTTAATATCTGTTGGCAACTACTTGTGGGAGAAACTTGCACATAACATAGGACAATTTATCCTAGTTGCCTAAAAAATAATACAAGTAAATTTACCAGAGTGTCCCAGAAATTTAGATAAACAAATGGTAAGTGACTGATGGCAAATGTCCCTGAGAATTGACAATATAAAAGAACATGGGCTGATTGGGCTGTGGTTTCTATGACACCTGTGTCACGTAAGGGTCTCCTGAATTTGGAAGCTGTGATGTGCTATAAATATGAAACTAGCTGAAATGATAAAATTTAGTTCTTTATAGTTATCCATTATTTCAACCTATGTTGGAAAACTGGAGTAAAGGCAGTGCACATTTCGAGCTACACTTAACCCAAAGAAAATTGGATACTTCCAATTTTCTTCACACCAAGCATAATCTAATATAAGCCTAACATTGAAGTGAAATCTATGTTGTAGCATCAATATTTTACTTATCACTATCTCATCAATGCTGAAAAAAGATGAAACTATTTTTGATGAAAACTTTCTGAATCCTGGAATTAGAGGAACTGCATCTTTTAAGTGGGGACCCACATTTTTCTCTGATGAAATGAATCTTCAGTCTAGGAAGACCTTCTGGATATGTCATTACCATTGTGGACTCAGATATGGCTAAAGAACCAGTTCATAGCTTAGACTGCAAGATCAGTTGCATCCACTGTGGAAGAGGACAGTCTGGCCATGAAAACTGATGTTTGAAATGCTTAAGACGAGTTGACTCTACTGCACTCTAAATGGCCCTTTCTATTGAGTCTGATTTAAATACAGAAGGGAGCAGCTGAATCTGTTTGCCATGCACATGTAGCATCTGTGCTAAATAATTTGCACTGTCTATCAGTCTGTTTCCAAGGCTGTCAAGATATTAGGCTTATTATACAGACCCCTGAGCAATTCAGGACCAAGTTTCATTAAAAATGCCTCCATTTATAGCAGCCACCCAGCCATCTACAGTTTTTCATTTCGTTATTAGCAGGAAGCTGTGGCATGATCCAGAATGAGGAACAACTAAAATGATTTTTCAGATAATTATATGAATCCTACTGTTATTTGTCTATGACAGTTTGGCATACCCTCTTCCTCTTTACACAATTTCCTTCCTTTGTAGAAGGAAAGATTATATAAATACAGATGTCAAGCCAGGTATTGCTTGCTAGTTAAGGTGGGTTAAACAAGTAAAGAGAATATAAGATTTGTATCCATCCTCCATGAATTTACTTATTTATGTATTCTTGGGCATGCAGAGGGGATAAGTTCAATTTCTGAATGCTCTACTAGTCAAAAGAATGTTAATCATTATTCCCAAGGATGTAGAAGAACATTTTGTTCTTCGGCAAGATATTAGGTAGGAAAATAAACATATTACTTTGTTCACACAATTTATCTAAAAAGTGTCTTCTGTTGCCCAATTTTTCAGTTTACAAGAATTTAGGAATTATTTCCTTTCAAAAAATTTAAGTACTGGTACATCAGAATGATGGCACCAATTCCTCTTGTATCCTAATGAGAGCAAGAGGGACTGAAGACCAGGCTGGGAACTCATCCTTTACAATAAGTTTACAATAACCTGTCATCTTCTAAATGTTGCTAAATGACATATGCCAATGTCCTTCATTGTTGGCCTAGGTTGATAGTTCAACAACACCCAGAAGCTGAATTCAAATCTTTAAAACAATGTTCTGCATTTGGGAATATTCTCCATTTGAGCTATGCTCATTCTATTGTCATTTAATTTATTTATAGGTTTATGGGAGGATCATTTATGAAATCCTATTTTTACTTTTAACTTAGCACAAGATAGGCAATGAGTACAATATACACTACTATTTTGTCCCCCCGATACAGTATGCTATGACTGAGAATATACAATTATTTTTAATAATTAAATTGAGTTTTACTTGTATTTTATTATTTTAGTATTATTGTAAATCATAGGAAGCTGTTCTAGGATGTGGCAGTACATAAATATTGTAAAACAAAGTAAGTGTTCAATGCACTGGCTCATGTTACTTCTTTGAACAGCTGAATTACCTCTCTTTTTGAAGAATTAATAAAACTGTTGAACTTCTTCATTTTACTTCTCTATTGCACACCTCCCTGAATGGGCTTTTAAGAGCTTCGCAAATCTCATTCCCACTGAAAATTTATCAGATAAGCAACATTTCTCTTTGGCATGGAGTGTATTCTTTCACAATAAACCAAACAGCAGTGTGACTTTTGCTTAAGAAGCCATTTTTAAAGCTAAGGTATTTTAAACGGTTATTGGGCAGTGTCCAAATCTTTATTGTTACACAAAATAGTGCAGGCAGTATGACAAAGAAGATTAAATTCCACATTTGATGCAGTGATTGCATTGGCTGTTCTAGATGATCTCTATTAGAGGCAAGGTGCAGATCTCTCAGTTCTTTTTATTATTACTGATCATAAGATCCCCTTGAAGCAGTTTTGGTGGGTCTGTTCTCATTTTTCTGATGCTGCTGAAAGCACTGCTTAGACAGGGGTCCCCATACTTGGAAACTTTAAGACTTGTGCTCCCAGAATTCTCCAGCCAGCTATGCTTCCATTTGGAAGTATCCTGATGAATCAAGTTTTTAATCTTAGTCGTCATATTTTGCATTTATTTAACTGAACAGCCATAAACCAAAAATATATCAAATATCAGGGGAAATATAAAATAATTTTAAAAAGACAAAGATAAGCAAGTGTTGAGTTTCATAGCCAGTACAGTATATGTAACAGAGGTCAAATATATTTTATAGAAAACAAACCCATGTACATACATAGCTATCTTTATTTCAGTCATATACCAGTATAAAAATAACATCATCAAAAATTAATTACAATCATTTTAATAATAGCAATGAAACTGTTATGTCCTTGGGACTGACCGAAGTCCCCAACCAAGTCCGTTCATGTTGCGGGGGCGTTTGCTGCTCCCATTGGTTGGCTCCCTTCGACAGCCGGCTATAAAAGCCGGCTGCTGGGTTGAGCCAGCCGCTGTTCGCTGGGCATGTCTGCTAGTTAGCCAGCAGACGCGACAGCCCTTTATTCGTTTGAATAAAGCCATTCTTGTTAATGCTCTGGTCTAGCCTCTCATTGCTCGAACTTAACAGAAACCTTATGAGATAGCAATGAAACCTCATGAGATAATCACTCTGCTATTTTCTTAGTATAGTAAGGAGTGATATAGAAGACTGCATGCTGGAAAGAAATGTTTTGAAGATTTTTGTGCTTAGACGTATCTACTGTATATTTTGATGCTTCAACCTAGTAAATACATATTTATCTTTGTGTGTTTGATATGTGCACCTATTTACACCAAAGATATATAAGTATGTACGGTCAGAAAAATTTGTCTGTAGCTGCAATGGGCTTCAAAAGTTTAGCAACAGGTTCTCTGCCCAGTTGCTGAGTGTGTGTAGCTATGGTGTGTATGGCCTAGTCAGCTTCCTGCACCATATTGGGGAGGGGTATTTTGTCCTTCCTGGGCTTTGGAGGCTTTTTTCGAGCCTCTGGGAAGGTGCAAATGGCCCCCCCAGGCTCTTGAGGGTTTCTGGAAGCCAGAAATGGGCCCATTTCCGGCATTCCCAAACTTCCGGGAGGCCTGTTTTTTGTCTTCTCCAAGCCTCTGTGCACGCCCTGCACTTACCTGCATCCAAAACGGGCTTCATGGGGACTCCTGGGAGGGGTGAGGTGAGGTGGGCGGGGTGGGGCCAGCCAGGGATGGGAATCAGGGATTCTCCAAACTGTGCAGAATCTTAGCTAGAGGGTCTCCTGTACCCCTGCTAACCCACCCCTGGTCTGTAGGAAGGAAAGGGATTGGCTGCTGCTTCCTAGAAGTGAATGGTTGAATTTAAGTTAGCGTGAGTTAGCATTTAAGTTAGCATTTTAAGGAAGTGCCCTTAAACACAAAATACCTACAGGGTAATACATTCACATATCTAACCCATGCTTTCAGGTGTTCAGCAAAATATTTGTTGTAGGTCTTGCCATGGACATATTTAGCATCAATAGTTAATGCTGTTTTGTTCATGGCAGGTCCTAAAGTATGAAACAAATGGGAATGTTGGAATTAGGATTTTCCACATTTTATTCTGGTTTAGGACAGGGTTCAAAGATATCTTTATGCAAACATTTCAGAATTGTTAATGTGTGTGTTTTTTATATTGATTTTTTTGAGATCTACCAAGAACTGTTTGGGAGCATGCAGCATATCAATCCAGGAAGGAAAAAACATATTTAACACTGATAGAACAAAAAGATTCCTGGAAATTTATCTGTGTACAAAACAACTCTGGAAAATTCGACCAAAGTAGCTGAAAATCCTTTTCCTTGCTCTTGTATTGAAAAACTCCCTAATTAATGTAGATGCATACCACACAATAGCAATACAACTGCTGCATATTGAGTATAATTTTATCCTCCTGATGTCACGTGATATTGCTTTTGGTCACCCATTATACATGAAAAGACCAGAATTTTGCTGAATGGGTGCTGATCTAAAGGCATCCTGACAATCCCAATTCCAAGCAAAAACACAGGAGTAAGTCATATCAATGTTATATATTAAGCTTCTTCAATGACCTCTCCAGCAGCAACTGTAACCAACTCTTGTTAAAAAAATTATGAAGTTTTCAAACTATGGAAAGCAAAAATTCTGTCATTTTCACCACAGTAAACTCCCCTGAATTCTGTGATATTGACACCTTTGTTGTATATAGATAGTAATGAATATCTTTTAAAAGAGAAACTCATCTGCCAAATTTTCATCAATGGCAGGAAGTAACTATTGTACTTCATTGGACACCAAAGATGCCCTATTGGTCTCTCTTTTGCAAAAATGGGAAAAGTGTTTTTTTTTTGTTCTGGGAATTTTGTTTTCAGTATATTAATTATATTTTATTATTTCATTGAAATATAGTATGCAATTATTGGAATGCAAAGAAAGAAAGATGGAAAGAACAGCAAGATGATACCAAAAAAGGAGATGACTATATTTAAATTTAAAAAATGAAACCATAGTGAAAAGGTAAAAAAGTAGATTATGATTCCCACTCCCTTCCATTTGTATCCATTATTTAGACATGAACTTTATATCCAACATTAGAAATTATTATTTTCTGTTTAAGTCCTAAAAATATTTTCCAAATTTTCTTTCTTGGCGATATATTGTATGCAAAGAAACCAATTTTGCCTGAACTTAGTAAAATTTCTATTATGGATAGTTACTATCTGTCATGACCCTGGTGGAGTCTGACTCTGAGGAAGAGGAGGAACAGCCAACAGGGAGTGGGAGTGTGGCTCCAGAGGTGGTGGAGGAGGCTGGGGAAGGGCAGAGGCCGGCTGAGCAATCAGAGGAGGATCCAGGCCCATCCCCTATCCATTCTAGGTCACGCAGGGAGGAGAGGATCAGGGAAAAGTGAGGTCTACTCAGGAGGAGATTACCATGATCCTCCTCGTGGCTTGCAGCTGGGAGGAGTCAGAATTGCTGGCGTCAAAGTTTAGTTTATTGTTTCCTTTGAAAGAGGTTTATGTTTGTTGGCGTTCTTCCCAAAGTTTAGTTTATTGTTTCCTTTGAAAGAGGTTTATGTTTGTTGGCATTCTCCCTGTATCTTCCTGGAACGTATGATCAATTATCTTGGCTTGCTTTGGAACTCCTGTCAATGCGGTTTGTTTTGGTTTCTTTTTTGCTTATTTACTTTTGTGACTTTAAGCTGTGCCTAATAAAACAGTGAAGTTTAAGTTGAAGGCATTACCGGACTTTAATGTAAGTTTTGGGTTTTGGGTTATTTTGGGAGACTATGGTTATCACACTATCGATATGGAACATACAGTATTTAATCACCCAATTTGATATCATGGTCAAGGTATGTCTTTTCCAATATTCTTGCTACAGTCAACATGTATCTTCTCTTATTTCTTTGTACTATAGATATTTATGAAGTCCATTATCTGGTCCTCCTCATTCTATTATTAATATTCTACCAATTGGAGATCTTATTCATTCTGTTACCCATGATAAGCAGCTTTCTCTGTAGTACAATCTTCAATTGGTAGTACCTTTTTCAGTTGGATTATGTAGAATTTAAAATTTTAATTTTGGCTTTTTCCTGTGGCATAGAGATTTATTGACTCTTCTTTGCCAATCTTGCAAGTTTGCAAATGAAATCCAAGGTAATTCACAAAATCTTTTTTTCACTTGGTAATTTACCATATCTTTTGTTACCTTATAACTGGTCTGTCTTTTCATGAAATTTTCTTCATTAGAGTTAAGTGTCTTTAATTTTCATTTATTTTGTATTCTAAAGCATTATTTAAGAATAAATAAACAGCTCTTTTCAGATGTTTTGAATTCTTTTTCCTTTGATAATATTAAACATGCAGACTTTAATCCAGGGGTCACCAACCTTTTCGATCTCAAGGACCACCAAACTCATACTTTTAAATCCCGAGGACCACTAATACGAATTTTTTAAAAAAGCTAATATATTCTTCCTTTTAACTGCTAGTGGTAGTGTGACTTGATTGGGTGGGGGGGTTGGCTGTGTTCTGATTGGGTGGGGGTGTGTTCTCATTGTTTGGGGGTTTGGCTGTGTTCTGATTGGTTGGGGGGGTTGGCCGTGTTCTGATTGGCTGGAGGCGTGTTCTGTTCAGGTGGGGGCTTGGTTGTGCTCAAGTTAGTCTTAGTTGCTGGGGGATTTGAGCTGGTGAGCTGTGATCCTGCTGTTTGGCTTCGAGTTCGTGGTCGTGCCGCATCTTCATGGTGGCTGTCAGTTCGCTTCATGTATGGCTCGGAGGGGTTTGAAGTGGGTAGTGATGCAGCTGCAGTGCAGCTTCTGGTCCGTGGTCGTGTCTCATCTTCTGTGTGGGTGTGAGCCTGCTTTCTACGTGGAAGTGTGGTGGTGGCATCTTGTGTGGCCCTCATGGGTGTGGTTCTGGTGTCATTCTTCATGTTAGGTACTCATCTGTTCATGAGGGCGGGTTTCCAAACGGCTGGTAGGCAGGAGGTGTCATCTCGTTTGTTCATGGTGTGTGGGCGTTTTTCTATCTCTATGGCTTCTCTGATTATTCTGCTGTTGAAGTGTTCGGTTTTGGTGATAGTTCTGGTATTTTTAAAGTCAATCTCATGTCCTGTGGCTTTGACGTGTTGGACCAGGGAAGAGGTCGTTTCTTCTTTTTTGATTGAGTTCTTATGTTCTTCAGTGCGTGCACTTATTCTTCTGTTAGTTTGTCCAATGTGTGTGTGTGTGTGTGTGTGTGTGTGTGTGTGTGTATGTATGTATGTATGTATGTATGTATGGCATTCAGCTTTGTTCGGGTATTTTCGCACATCAATGTAGTTGTGCTTTTAAAGTTGTAGCAACGTTTCGGCAGAATCTCATCTGCCATCATCAGGCTTCTGTATAATGTACAGTGGAACTTCTTTAAGTTCCACTGTTCTTTAAGAACTCTTCTTTACTACTGCCTCCTCTTCCACCAGCACCACTTCTTTCTCTGGGTCAGGTGACTCTTAACTAACTGATCATGCTAAGGCAACTCAGGATGCTACCGCTGCGGCGGCTTTGCCTGCGTCTCCGAGGCGTCGATGTTGGCAGCGAGGGGTGGGAGAGTGGAGAGCTGCGCATGGCTCTGTCTCCCTTTCCTGTCCTGCCTGCACATGGGCGAGGGGGAGGAAAGAGAGAGAGCCAGGAGCAATTCAAAGCTAGAAAACTAATGGGGAGAGCTAACAGCGGGTGCTGGGGGGGGACTGCTGTTGCCACCGCCGAGTGTAGGAGCTGGTTGGCGCGTGCATCTCAGGGACCTGACTCTAGGGTCCCTTGGAGAGCTGGGAGGCATGACAACTGCATGGCCCAGATTAATTGTTTTTTGGGGGGCATTTCTTCTGCGGCCCACGAAAATTTTTCCACAGTTGGCAACCGCTGCTTTAGTCTGCTTTTCGTTATGCTGAGAAAAGCTTCAACTTGACATGAAAGACTTATTAAATATTTTCAGGGTGGTACTTCCCTTTGGCAAATTGGATGATCCTACACAGTTAAAATATGTCACCTGTAATGAAAAGCTCTTTTGTTGCAATTCAGAACTATGTAATATTGAGTTACTGTATTCCCTTCAAAAATGTTTCTTAAAGGTTTCTATACTAGATGGTGAACATTTCTTTAGAAATAGAGGGTGATATCTGCAATTCATGTTGAGCAATTTTAAAATGTCTCAAGAATGTCCTGTGTGAGGGATTGACATGATCTTTCAAAGAGGAGCTGAGCACAGGCACTTAGCTGGAGTAGTTACTTAATCTTTGTTTCTGAGTGGGAGAAATGAGTTGTGCTACATTAAAAGAACAGTAAACCTTCTACCTTCTTGGCTGGTGTGAGATAGATAGCTAATGTTACATTGGCTTCTCAATCAATGTAACCTGGGATAGCTAGCTTGACTGATCCTGTGTTCTAAATAGCAAGTTGCCAAACTGTGAAAAGATAAATCTATAACAAGATGCTTAAATAATCAGTCTATTTCCCCACCCCCACCCCAAATAGTGCATAATTGGCCATACTCTTGAAGGTTTGAGAAGCTGAGATACATTTATGCAATGGTCCTATCTATATTTATTTTTTAGTATAGCTGATCTCCCCTTTGAAGGCCAGAAAGCAAATGGCAAATAGAAGTTCCCACTTGCTACCTCAGCCCAGTTTTATCAGTGCTACTGTCTGGCAGCAGCTCAACAAGAGATGCTAGAGCAGTGATACCCAAGAGGGAATTAAAATAATAATTAAAAAATCCCTTAGGCACTTGTATGTCAGAGGGGGGTCCATTGGTTGTTTTCTTGCATATTTCTCCTTACCCAAGCTTAGTATCATCTTCAGTTCTTGTCCTGATGATCTTACCTAGTTTGGTAATGAAATACCTGCAAGAAAACAACCAAGAGCACCAAGGATCCCTCATTTGATCTCTGAGCTACAAATACCTTCATGTATGAAGGCTAACGGAGTAGGAGAATTCGATTGAGAATGGGGATTGAGGATTATGTTTATTCTCAATTCAGAGTGATCTTTGGAAATGGCTACCAATGTCCACAACAATTGCATGATCTTTGATGACTCCTGGGGCCAAGTCTTTTGTGACATGTATTGGGCAATGCAGGATGTGCTGGAAGCTTCTGAGAACTGTAATTACTAATATTGGGACAGTATGGAAATAGTGTTTGGGATCAGAAAATGAAAGGAAATAAAAATAAACAAAAAATGACAGCATGAGATGCCTTTGAAGAATCATGCCAGATTCAGAGGTCCTTCAGACACACCTTGTAATTTATCAACTATTAACCTTCATGGAGTCAAAATGCTGCTATTGTGATGCCATATGTTTTAATTATGCATCATACATAAGTTTGGATTTTTTCCTAATGTTTTTAAGTTGTAAGAAATGTAATTTTCTTTATCTATTTTCAAAAGGTCCTTTCATTATTTTTGATAATAAACTGTTGGAAATGTTTGAGGCAACTCATATCAATATTGCAATCAAAATACTGTATTTTGATATGAAATACTATTTAGGTATTTCATGTTGCTTTCCTTCCTTTTGTAGCTTTCTATTACTGAACTAAAGCTATATTGTTTGTAGATTTTTATTAGAAATACATCACAATCGGGACTGTTGGCTTTCAAACAGTGAAAATGTTCAGGTTTGCATTGTTTTTTTACCTACTTTGCACTCACAATTATTTTTTTGAACATGACTTTGAAAATCTAATTTTCAGTCAATATTGTCATTACAGATATGAATGAAAAGGGAAGGAATGGAAACCAAACACATGATGACATGGGAATGACGGACAGTGCACATTGACAGGAGAAAAATCTACTTCAGTAAGTAAACATATGTACACTAAAATTGTTTTCTTGTTTTCTTAGTTTCATGACATTTGATTCATAGAGTGATTAATTTGTTATTTCTTCATTTTATTACTATCTTAATATACACTTGTAGAAGAAAGACATATAATGTGATATTAATGTGAATAGAGAAGAATGTCAATATGACTAAGGTTTGTGGAGCGATGCAAAAACAGGAAAAATATGAATAATAGTTTCAAGCAATAAAAGCAAGTGGAACTTGTCATCAACATTCATAATTTTGCTGGTCATCATTCAGAGAAGCTGGCTATTTCATACATTTTAAAATTTATAAAGGAAAACAATAGTCCAGGAATTTAGTTCAAACCCAAGTTATATTAGTGTTTAGACTTTCTTCAGACAGAATACAATGCCATATAATTCAACTCTGAAATGCATTACTTTATACATTTTTTGAACATAAATATCTTTAGTAAAAATAACCAACATAGCTTGTTTAAGAAGGCATGATCTTTATTCAGGCTATACTGTGTTTTAAAGAACAATATGAAATGTTGCATTCCATCATGTTCACCATTACTGAGATTTGAGTTATGAGAATAAGGAGTTGCTGCTGAAGGCAATAGTTCAAAAGCTCTGTCAAAATCAGAACAGGTATCTCATTAAACAATTATCTACTTCCTGGAACATGGAAGAAGCCTGGCTTTTCACAAAACCAGTTCAAAATGTAGAGTTGAAAAGCAAATACATTTGTAGTCAACCATGAAGTTACTATTTTTAATAACACCTATGAGCAATGAGACAGTGATATGAGTTATTAATTAATCTCCAACAAATTCTCCAGAAGAACCCCAGCCAGCCACAAACATTTTTATAAATTGCAACACCATAGAGAACCAGTCTTTTTTTTTTTGAAAACAGTTTTATTAATTTTAACAACAAACAAAAACACATAAAACATAAAAACATCATCCTTTCCTTCATGAGTTTACAGACAGTGTGTCGGTTGGTTTACCACTTTTTTTTGTGCATCCATTTCATAGTCTCCATTGTAGTTATATTACATAATAGCTTATATTATCAATCAACAATTATATAGCCTGATAT